CCTATTTTCAGTTGATTCGATACATCAAGCCTCAGTTAACAATCTCTCTCTGTCTAACATGTTATATTGGATTTTAAGACTGTTATTTTGTTCTGTCCCTTAGTCTGTATGGCTGTATGTGCGTGTGTGACTGGATGTAGAGTAGTGTAGGTGAGCGATTTGAAATATTTCTCATCTTATTTTAGGGTCAACAAATCACCTAATTCGTAGATGTTTTTTTGCTGCATTAATCTAAATTACCCTGACCTACTGATTTGATCTGTATATTTAGCCTCAATGAGCACTACACAAAAAAATTATTTTGTTTAATGGGCTTCATTGCATTGTCTAACCAGCTTCCATTCCCATCCGATGAACTAATCTTTACTCAGTAAATAATACTGCTTCAAACCGGTTTATCAGGTAAGAGTTCACTGAAATTGGTAGTTTAAAAACGAACTCCCAATTTGCAGTTTATGTAGTTCAAGAGGGTCAAATTTCACGTAAAAATTTTTTGTTTGGAAACCAAAATTATATTCCGAGATCACATATAGTATGTGATCTAGTCGCTGCCATCTAGGTGATAATCAAGAAAGTAAGCATAAATGCCTGGTACTGTATACTACTGATCCACTGAGATGAGTAGTGGGATACCACTTACATGTCAACCAGTAGTGTTTGCTAGCCAGGCAGATAGCTGAAGTGACCTAAATGCCGGATGGCTGTTTCACAGGATTGAAGCCAAGCTGATCACTGGAGTATTTTTTATTACAGCTTGATTCCACACCGTATTTTTGGTACAAGTATGGAATTTTCAGCATGTGATATCGGTAGCCCAAATTTTGCAGGCCGACCATAGATATTAGGTATTCGTTGGCAGGGGATCGAACCTCGGACCATATGCATGGTCGGCGAGAGTCCTAACCACTGTGCCCAGTTTCACTCAGTTCAAAAACTACCTGAAAACTGTCTGGTTGTCTTTTGATGTGAAATGTTAACACGTTAAATAACAACCGCAAGTGAAATTTCACCGCAATTTCCCTTGGAAGACTTTATTATGCCCGCTTTCTTGAATGCCATTTGTATGGTATCAAGTAGATCACATATTGTGTATGATCTGAATAATTTCGATTCAGTCTTTAGACTATTGTTGACATTGCATAACAATGTCTGATACACCTCAACGAAAAAATTCAGCGTATTTTACACATCACCGTGAGACATGAGCACCGTATTGTATATCAGTTATAACTTATTTTGTAGTTTGGTCTATCGAAGAGAAACCACTACCCCCGTATCAATCATTCATTCACCTCACTTTACTTCACCTCAACTCACCTTAGCTCAATCCTGGTTCACACACCCAGACACCCACACACACATGAGTATATAAATAAAAGAATGATTGATTAGAGCGTGTGAGTAGACTCATTCAAGCATTGAAACAGAAAAAGAGACGCGAATAACCTTGAAAAATCGATTGAGGGTTCCTTTCTCGGCCACTGCAGCTCTTCTAAACCTCGCTTAGCAGGCAGTAAGGAAGATAAAGAGGTAGAGTTGGGCGTGAGGCTGACAACCACACCACGTAAAAATTAAAACCACAGTTACCGAGGCTTCACAACTCTAGCCTGAAGCCCTGTATTCCACTCTGAAAGTTAAAGAATAATTAAAGCAAGAATAGTAAATATACTGCAAGAGAAATTTGATTTTATCTTCTGGCTCAAAATACCAAATTATGTACATTTTAAACGGCTGGGAGGGGAGATGTGAACATACTTTTTGTCGTAATGACGAGGAGTTATTCATAGGAAGGAACTAAACCTGAGTAACATAAATCTGGCATGATACAAGTTGTTAAATTACTAATTGTTTGTAGGATAATTAGAAGGGCTGGTGGGATATTCACCAACTAACGCCATTCGTTTCAGGCGCAGACGTGTGATATCTAGTAATTGATCGCAGGAGGTGTTTACTGCATGGCAGTTTGCTATGTGAAAGATAACTACTGCTAATGTAAGATATAAAAAAGTCTAAGTGCCTTCGATCACAAATGTGTACATTCTACTTCGCCCCCAATCAATAATATATGTGGATTTACATAGTGAGTAATACTGAGGCTATGCGTAGAGGTTCAGGTAAAGAAGAAGGTAAGTCAACAGATGTCCTTGCAAAGCTTCATCAACTGAGACGTCTGTGAAGTGTGTTCCACATGCCAGGTCATCGCCTTCCTTAATGCGCGCTTTCATCTGATCAGGATGGAAAAGAGCTAAGTCTAGTCATATAGAACACGGTAACAGTTGGTCTAAGCTAGACACATAGGGATGGGGTGTGAACGGGTTGTAGACTGTCTGCCTGGTTGAGATCCTCACGATGTGAAGAACCAGTGGTTGCAGAGTGTTGGTGATGATATGGCTCAAAATCATTGTTAGTAGCGCAGACGCATCCGACGGCCATCGTATGAATTCTAACCTCTCTCAATTCGAGCTCTATATAGATCACCACTGGCAACCAATATCATCCGAGATTAAGTCTGCTATATTGCATAAATTAAAATACAGTGAAGTGCTTGCATTTCCTAATATTCTTCGACTCGTCGGCTGGATGGATGCACCTACATCGCCAGGAGGTGAATGCATGCACCAGTAACCAACCATCTTTCTCATCAATATATTTATGCATTCATTCTTAACAAGTTTACACAACTCCAGCTCACATCCATTTTATCAGAACTTTTAAATTGTTGAGATCAGAACATCATTTATTAATTAAGCATATAATAATAGTAGTAGTAGTAGTAGTAGTGGTAGTATAAAGATGATGAAAATATATTTAAGGGTAAACAATGAAGAACCAGTAAGGACGACTGGTATAAAAGAATAATAATAATATCAATAATAACAGTATGAGTATAAGTAGTAGTGTTAGTGGTAGTGAGTCGATTGAATGATGAAGATTTCAAGCCATAAAAACAAAACAATAAATTAAATGTTCTCTTCTTTGTTTGTTTGTTTGTTAGCGTATATATGTATGTATGTGTGTGTGTGTGTGGCTCTTGAGTAGGCGTCTGCATTTTCTAAGTGAATGGAACACATTAGTATAGATTGCTGATTTATTTTGTTATCATTGAAAATATCGAAAAATAATAAAATAAAGTTGAAGTCGACATATCTTTGAGGTCATTTGAAGATATTTATTTACTTATTTATTTATATATAAAGTGCAAATGTTGTACAAATATATTTATATTTTCTTTCTTTTTACACAAACGTTTGTTTCACAAAATGCGACTTTTAAAATACCTTAAAAGGAAATTTTTTTTTGGTATTTCATTCACAATTTCACTGAGTACTTGTTTGCTGACTGAATATTACACTACTACTACCACTACTGCTACTAAAACTACTTATACTATTACTAATCATAGTAGCTTTATGCTGAGCAATGTTAATATGTTGCGTCGGTGGCTCAGTGGTTAGAACTCTCGCCGACCATGCATATGGTCCGGGGTTCGATCCTCTGCCAACGAACACCTGATATCTATGATCAGCCTGCAAAATTTGGGCTACCGATATCACATGCTGAAAATCCCACAGTTGTACCAAAAAATACGGTGTGGAATCAAGCTGTAATCAAAAAAAATTATAATGTAGAGAATTTTGAACGGAATTTTTAATATGAAATTTTCTCTTCGTCCAGGATATTCAAATAAAAGCTTAACTGACAATAGATTGTGTAGAGCGGTTCTATCCTCTTCTAAAGCACAGACAAATCCATCTCTACATGACGATACTTTGTTGAATGCCAGTTATATAAGCAAAGACAAGATCACTCAGAAATGTCCATCTCATGTAATAGGATAAGTTGTCACTGAGGCTAATGCTTATTCACATGTTTAGTAGAAAATTACTAATCAGTGGGTGGTAAATGTTTTAAATACTCGCCAGAGTAAACAATACTGCCAGAAGTCATACTTTACTAGATTCAAACAAACCGAATAATAGAAATGATATGCAATATATTGATGGAGGTTCCCGGTAGGCCACCTTTTAAGTAGGCTACTACTACTACTACTACTACTACTACTACATTAATACTACTATTGTCTAGAGCATTTTATTATACCGCATAATTTTAAATCAAATTCTCAGCTTGCAAATTAATTTACACAGTCGTTTCATTTGTAAAGTGATATACTACAGTGCTCCAGGTCTATTCCTATATCAATAATTCGGTATCAATGAGCCGACTGTTTGAATGTGTATATATGTGTGTGGTATTGTAGCAAATAAAATTATTGTATAGTTGAATTATGCTCTATCACAGTGTTCAAATTCTATTCCTATGTCTAGAAGCATATTACCATTATCATAAGAGTTTAGAAGTTGACTGTCTATTATGTGCTTCCAATGATCTCTTTTGCACTCCTTGAGTTTCGGATGGAAGATAAAGTGTCGCACTATAAGTTTTGAAGTTTCAGTATTGATGTTAGTGTTTTCGTTTATAGGGTGACGTTGATAACCTCACACTCCACAACCTTTCCCTTTTTTACCTCCACCCTACTGTCGGTAAGTAAACTAAGTGACGGATTTGACGACGAGCTGATATCAGCTAGGGGACCAGTGGAAACCACTGAGAAGTACCTTCTCCCTTGTTTCTGACTCTTCATCAGCACGCATCCCGTGTGATTTGAACCCAGGACTTTCCGGCTACAAGGCGAGCTTATAGACCATTCAGCCACTAGGAAGCTATCCAGTAGCCCTTAATGGTTTGAAAGGAGGGTAATCCGCCCCAACGTATCTTGGCCTGCCTCCATGACGGTATTTACAGAAAATCTTGAAAGCCATAAGTAGACAAGTATATGAACATAAATCACAACTTTGTAACTAACCGAAAATGCTCCTCTGTCCTAATGGATTATAAATTTCACGGATAAGACGATATTTAGTCTCTATATTTCAAAAATAATTCAATTTATTTCTTGGATTACAAGGTCACTATTGTTATTTTAAATCTAATTTTAGTTTCACCATGCAATCAGTGAGGTGGAAGCAAGTCTCAAGGCACGTGTTCGAATGACAGATGTTAGAAATCAACGACATGTCCCGGCTACCTTGAAGAATTGTACAATACTAGCCAATGAATTTAGAGTAAGTTTTAATCTGGTTTTGTTTCTGTTGCGGATTTTTCATTTTGTTTGATTCATGTTCAGAATTCAAGGATATTTAAGAGTCCATCCGAAGAGTCAATTTTCACAATTAATTCATTCTTTTCTCTTAAGCTATATAGTCTCACTTATATACAATTTATTTTTCCCCACAAAAAAGGATATTAACAAAAATGATAAGTTGTTGCAATAATCATAGTTGTTAATATTATTAATCAATGGTAAACCGGAGGAGTTTAATAAGGAAGGACGCTATAATTACTTAATAAGACAAATAATTTCATGGGAATGACTTGTAATCAAGATGCACATAGAAATGAGGGAAAATGTGAGTTATAAAGAGTTAATACACAAATACACTAAAATCAAGTTGGTAGGAAACAACATAGTAGTTTCCACCATAGCAGAAGTGGTTGAATAATTTTCTTTTGTATGCACGCACAGCTAAGGTTTCTCTGTCTGAATGGAGATAACTGCCGAGATTCACTGACAAGAATATCAGACTAAAGCTTCAGAAGAACGGAACATTACTTGTACAAAGAAAGAAACTCTATATGACCCTTGATTTCATAGGAAACTTAACTTGTGATATGCTTGAGAAAAGAATTTCACCGTTCTTGAGAACATTCTTCGCAACAAGGCTGCAAGTAGCGTTCTCCAGTCGTCCACTGGTCTGCAGAGGCCTGAAGAATAATATTTCGCACCTAATTACCTCTGTGTGTATATATCTGTTCACGAATTCCTGTAAAGCCAAGTATATTGAACATCCGACGCATATCCTGTCTGAAAAAAGGTTTCAAAAACAATATCTAGCATGACTGAAGAAAGGCAGCATCTGACCATACTATTCCAACGAATAGTAATCTGTCTACAAAGTGGAGAATAACCTGCGAAGAAAATAAGCTTCCATCACTTCTGCACATTACCAAAGCTCTAGTCATTCAGACAGAGAAACCATAGCTGTGAATGTCTACAAAAGAGAATTATTCAACCACTTTTAGAATCATCATAACAACCGCGTTAACTCCTAACAACCTGTTTTTTTCTTTCAAAGTCTTATGTAGTATCTCGTCTATCCCTCCTTTCTATGTGCAACCTTGATTGCAACTCATTCACATCATTTATCTCATTGCGTAACTCTAACATATTTTGTTACTAAACTCATCTTATGTTTTAATTAATAATATTCACTACTATGACAACTGTATTTGTTGAAAGTATGAGTTGCGGAATCTTTCCAACAGACATCGTATTCGTCTATTGCACACAGTTTAGGTGAGGGGCGTTCGAACTATTAAACTTAAACTATGTATTCGAAAAAGGGTCGTACAGCCATTATCCCTCCATTTTCCAATTAATACAATGTTGACTTCTCCACCGCCTCTTACTTATATTTTCAACCCTTCTCTTATCATTCCATAATCTTATCACATCTTCAATAAAAAGGCATTTTATTTACTTCCCTTACAATCTAGCATTACTTAGTCAGTTCATTTGTTTTTCTTAGCCTTTATCAACTACTTCCACCTGAACATTTAACATTTGTTTAATCATGTTGTTTTTCGTTATTCTTGTCGTCGTGGTTCACCTCACTTTTTTCATCCTTATTATTGATAGAAAAAAAGATATTGTACGTAAATCAGATTGTGCAACTAAATGGGAGAGAATAAAACCTCTAAGTGACTTCGTTGCTGAACACTACTTGTTTTAGTTATCTTCATTCATTCATTCATCCTTAGATGAGGATTAAATGTGTATTTTTAAATACACATTAACCTTTGTTCATGACACTGAGATCAGTGTATAGTTTGAATATATCATACCACATTCGAACGGGTGAGAGTGAAGTTAATCGCAAAGTATTTTGTAGCACAAAGTATTGGTGTAGACGCTACGGTAGATATTCTAGTTGTGTTAAACAAAAATGAATAAAGAATCCTATTCAAAAAGCCAAACACAACACATATTATGGTTACACTGTGCGTCGGTGGCACAGTGGTTAGGACTCTCGACGACCATGCACATGGTCCGGGGTTCGAGCCCACACCGGCGCACACCAGATATCTATGGTCGGCCTGCGAAATTTGGGCTACCGATATCCATGCTGAAAATTCCATACTTGTACCAAAAATACAGTGTGGAATCAAGCTGTTACCAAAAATTAAAAAAAAATAAAAATTAAACACATAATACAGATTTCAGATACCTGAGTAAAGTCAAACTGTAATTGACCGCCTCAATTCTATCCATTCAAGTTGGTCAGAATGGAAGTGAGGCAGGTTTGTTCCACAACAACTCATATTCCCACTCAGTGTACTCAAAATGCGTAAAAACTGGCAGCAAATGAAGGCAAAATTGTTTGTTAGATAAGTTTACTTGATAGAATACTCTAACACTGCTTGACATAATGCTGTCTATCGACGTGTTCCTAACAGAGCTTCTTGTTGATTCCCTCACACGATTCAGCATCAAACCAACTCTATTTCTGATTGAAAGGAAACTAAGTAATTCGTTGAGTGTAAGTCAAAGGCATAAACCTTGACCTTCAAGGAATAACTGTTAACAAATGGTGGCTGTTGAATTTAATTTTATATTTTCCCTTGAAACTATTGACTTTGAGTTTGAGCCTCAGTGGGAATATCATCACTCACTGCGAAATGCAGGCAAATCCAGTGGTGAGTCCCAAACAGGACTTAATGCGCATCCCAGATTCCACTGCTATTCACCATGTACAAATTAAACGCTAGCTGGTTTCGAATGCCAGTGTGAGTTTCAAATTTCTGATCACTACCATTCCCGAATAATTCTCCAATTATATCAACAACTGCGTGAGTAGCACAGTAGTTAGGACTCTCGCCGACCATGCATATGGTTCGAGGTTCGATCCCCTGCCAACGAATACCTAATATCTATGGTCGGCCTGCAAAATTTGGGCTACCGATATCGTATGCTGAAAATTCCATACTTGTACCAAAAATACGGTGTGGAATCAAGCTGTAATCAAAAATAAAAAAAAATTCAACTTTCTTTTGTAATACCATTATGTTACTCACGAGTAGTTCAGTTCAAAATGAAAAAATATTTAATAAGAATTCTACTTTAATGTTCCATAAAAACTGTCCGTTTTCGCCAAACTCAGCGATCATTCAAAGTAATCAAAATACACCTATCTAGTGCTTTGACATCAGTGGCTACCTCTTATTTCTGCTGATTTATGGAATCGACGGTGAAATGAAAACACGCAACTTTTGACTGAAAACCGAATGCCATTTACTGATTAGCATTTATTTCTAAGACTCACGTAAATGAAGATAGAAAACAAACTACTCAGCGGTGATAAGAAAAATTCATTGTAATAGACAAAAATACATTGTATATGTTAAACATCTAGAATCCTTGGAAATCTAAGTAAACAAAAATAATTAATTTGATTGGACAATGGAGAAGGCTAACCTTCTGGATTGATTGATAGGTTGACTACGCAGTCAATAGGTGCATTGTCTGGTTGTTTTTTTCTAATCTTGGCTAGCTTGGTTTTGAGAACTCTCCGTCTTTGTTGTCTGTGTCTTCTACTTGATAATATAATTGCGATGATCAGTGGTGACAGGTGTTTCTGGTTAAGGGTTTTCTCTGGTCTTTCTTTTTGGGCACCTATTATTTGTTGATCCTATCAAAACAACCACTATCCTTCCCCTTAACCCTCTCGGCTTTTTTTCTTTCTTTTTTACTTTGCTTATTATTATAAATATTATCATTACAGTTATTATTATTCGTCATAATTTATGCCCTTTATGCAAACATTCCCTCAATACTATTTTTTCATTTATACGGAATTATTATTAGCGATATTATCTGTTTTCTCAATATATGCCTCCACCTGTTTCATTTAACATATTCGTTATCTTACTATGAATCTCTCATCCCAGTCTTACTATCTCCTGTTTAACTCAGATCACTTTGTACCAGCTACTCACCTGACACCTTTTATAACCTTGAACTGATTTATCAATTTTCCTACCCCACACTCTACAATTCTGTTATGATTAATCACCACCACTGTCTCCCGTTGTACAATACTTCTAATCGATTTCAACCTAGCACGTTTGTCAAACAAATATGACTATTTATGTTCACACCCCATAACTAATCTGTTATTCTACGTTAAAAAAATGTATCCGCCGCATTACTGGCCTTTATTGTAACGACCAAAAATATTATATTTTATAAAGTTGTATTTGTAAAATCTCAGAAAAATTGAAATGATTAATTCCAACGTTTCGTTCGGCAATCTGGTCCGAACTTCTTCAGGGAAATTAATCCAAATAACATAACAAAGGTTTATATATAAAGGGACACCTCTTGTTTTTTTAAAATTTTGTCCAATCATGAGTCATGCAACAGGTATCAGTATGTATAATAAATAAATAGAATTGTATGTTTATATAAAAGTACATCTCTTATTTTTAAATATGAATCAATACGTATACTAAACAAAACAAAACAAAATTTGTATGAACTATGATCAAAAACCTTTTGACCTCAGACTTTCAAAATTTGTCTACTTTTGTTAAAATACATATGGGTGAATCCCAACAGTTTAAACAGACGTGAAAGTGTGATGTTAGCTGATTTATGCCAAATCCTGACTAATAAATAAAATTTTATATGTATGAACAAGTAGTCACACTTGGTCAAATTCCCGATTGTCTACGTCTTCTTATGGAGAGAATAACAGATTTATAAAAATTAAATTGTATTTATAAAAATCTCAATTATTTTGCAACTATCCGGTCAAATCTTGATCGCAGCTCATATGAGGATAGCAAATGTTTTATGACTGTTCACCCACCCACCCACACACACGCACACACCATTGTATCCTGCGTATACACATATATTTTAACAAAAGTAGACAAATTTTGAAAGTCTGAGGTCAAAAAGTTTTTGATCATAGTTCATACAAATTTTGTTTTGTTTTGTTTA